AAATAATTATCCTTGCCACATATTTTGTTCTTAAAATAGAAATAAATGCTGAAAGATCTTCCTTAAAATAAAACGAGTCAGTGAGTGTGTTTAACGCAAGGGTCATAATTCATGGGGAAAAATCTGAAGATGCAAAGAACACCCGGAAAAATTTTAGCGAGTAGAAAATTTTAAGGGTACAATTTCTTTTTGCAATATACTTTACCTTTTTAAAGTAAAAATATAGCAGTAACCATGTGTTCATCATGGATTAAACTCGTTTATACACGTATTAAATTGAATTAGGATTCCCACGTCAAAAAAATTGACATGAAATTTCAAATCAATACCAAAATTTTTTTCAACGAGAATTTAATAGTACTTGAGCCCTTTAGAAGATTTTATATGCGCTAATTTTCACAATTCGTTCAAAACTGCTTGACAAAAAACTTGTTGAGAAATGTTGGCGGGTGGCATGTTTACTTGAGCCCACTCTTGGCTCTCTAACATGCTGGCGTAATTGCAATGTTGTGTCGGTGTGGGTTCCCACCGCGAGCGGCACTGTACCGAGGCCCGCTAAAGAACGACAAAGTGTGTATTAGGGGCCAGGAACACCTGGTTTTACCCCGTCTGATTGAGGATTATCGATCTCAACGTGTTTTGACAGTTGAATGAATTCTAAATAAATATTAAGATTAATCCCGATTGAACTCCTTCGCGCCCAGAACAGGAAACGCGTTACATATATTCAATATTAGAAACTGGCCCTCAACAAATGGGTCTTCAAAACAAATCTTGATTAGTTGGTATTAATGCTATATTCATTGATTATGACATTTTCATTAAAAATATCTACGATACTTAATTGACTGAAATTAATTATTTCCTTCCCCTTGACATCTTGCCATTTTGAACATGTAAATAAGTACACGGATATTTTTTTATTCCCAAACTCATCGTGGTGACATTACTGTTTTTTTTCCATTATATTTTTTATATAAAAATATACAAAAATAAATATTTTTTTCTTTTTTAATTTTAAAAATTCTGTAAAAAATTTATTTTATACTGTATTGAATTTAGCAACGAATGACATTGAAATTGGGAGTAAGGGGTTTATTCAAGTTCGTTAAATTATTTAATATTTAGTTCATATATTCTTTCTTTCTTTCTTTAATTTTTTTATTTTAATTTTATTTTTGTGTGTGTGAGGGAGGGTGTGTGTGTGATAGGGTGTATATTTGTTTTTGAAATTAACTATAAAATGTTGAAATCCAATGAATATAATTAAAACATGTTGAGGGTTTCGCTCATTATGTTCGAAATCTACAATGCTAATCCCAGGATTTAGGTAAGCAATGGATATGGCGGTAATCTTAGCGGGTAAAAAAGGTGGACTGCCATGGATGACGGGGGTATGGATTTTTTTACTTGCCGGATTTTCATACCCGTCACTCGGTTTTAATGTTTTCTTCAGGAGAGAGATCAACTTTTCACGGGAGATCTGTCGAGTAGCAAACATCCTTAGAAAGTCTGGAATTTCTTGATAAAATATAAATTGGTGGTTTGTATTGCTTCAGTAGTAAAATATTACATGTATAAAGTAAGCAAAAGGGAAAATTTTAAAAAAGTGGAGCTAGCTACAGAATTTGGAATAGGGGGAGGTGTTAATCATGTATTTCGAATTCGCGTATTATGATTATGCATCTTTAGTCTTTTTTTAAATTTTAAATAAATTATAGGTTATTGTTAATCATTTTTAAATAGAGTTTCATGATTGTATTTGCTTCTTTTTTTTAATATAACATGAAAAACATATTTGCTGATAAAGAACTTTTTGTTGCTACTGTAACTTACAATTGACTACATCGATAAGAAAAAGATATTGAAAAGAAACTGCATGAAAGGGAGCCATAGCTGGCATGCGGTATTTTGACTGGAAGTAACATGCGGTAATTCGCGCCTTTTTTCATGGTTTATCATACTCCCCCCCCCCCACCCTTTTCCCCCAAATCTTTGAAAGGGGCAAATGGGAAATTTCTAGTTTCCGTCTTAAATGCATTGATGACCAAAACCAAAAATAAAAGGAGAAAAAACACTTGAAACGTTTCATCTAATAGATACATCTTTACCTATGTTCATTTCTGAAATTAGAGCTAACAGCTGTTTGTATTATGACGTCACATATATGACGCGAGCGTGATGCAAACATCAACATGCACATATTCAAATACAAGTGTTGACGAACCTGACAGTAGAAGATCTCAGTAGCATAACTCGAACACTGGAATATATACAACTTTAATTATGAACCTGAACAATAATAGTTCGGAAAAATTGCGTGTTCGACTACGCATGGATCCCAAGGAAAGATTTCCAGAGAAACTGTACGATGTTGCAAATGATGGTTATCTTGTAACATGGAACGGCTGTGGAGATGGTGTTGTTGTGAACGAAAAGGAATTCGAAAGGAAAGTTATGAGATGTTATCCGGGGTTTGTACAAATTTCGAGTTTTGCTAACTTCAGGCGTTTGTTTAGAGAGTATGGCTTTGACTGGGAGATTATTGACCGTTCTGAAAAACTTTCGCACACATTCGAATTTTCTCATCAATGTTTTCAGTATGGACAGTATGATTTGCTGTGCAACATACAAACCCGGCGTAAATCCTTTAGTAAACCAGTGCGGGCAGTGTCCAATTTTCACAAGGAAGTGGCCGAAATATCTGCTCTGTCCAGTAAAGAATCTGAGGGTAGACTGACAAGAACAAAAGTAGGACGAGTAAAACGAGCGAACTACGCGGACCTGGAGAAATCCAAGAAAATTAAAAGCCATTCCTTGTCGTCCGAGAATATGACTGTCCTGAGCTCAAATTCCGAGACAACGTTACCACATGAGTATAACGCACCTGTTAGTGACGTCATTGAAATCGAAGCACAGGAACACCAGAGGAAATTCGAATTTGAGTTACGTGCGAGGGATTTTGTGAAATCATTTATTAAAAATGAATTTACCTTTGATGAATTTTCTGTTTGGGCAGAACAAAATCAGCATATTTTCTTTCTTCACGACAACATGGATAGCATTGAATGTACAAGACCATGTGGAAGTTGTGATTGTTGCAGGTCAATGGCTTTTCAGAGAATAAATCATTAGGACAATCGGTAAAATTCCGAAAGACCCTGAACCATGCATGCCAGTATGTAAAATTGGTAAAATTCCGAAAGACACTGGTTGACTGAACTATGTCTGTTAGAATGTAAAAATATTGTATTTATAGTTGTGTTCAGAAAGACAACATCAAAAATTAAAAAAAAAATAAAAGCATGTTGCGATATTGTGAAACTTGCTGTATACAAAAATCAAAATAATTCATATCAATAAACATTGAATAAAGTTCTATTTTAAAGTTGCATTTATCTATTTAGTACATTAACTAACATGGCCGTAGCAACCGGAAAAGGAAGGGGGGTGGTTACTAGCCCTTGGCTGTCCCCCAAAATTTTTGCTGAAATATTTTGAATATTTACTTTAGAAAACAGCTTCTTAATAATTTGTCCTTGAATAAAAGGCAGAACATGTGTAACCCCCCCCCCCTTGCAATTTTTTTAACTTCTTCGCTAGCCAAGTGTCCGATTCGTTTCCCTCATCTGAAATGAGACACTTGGCTAGCGAAGATGTTTTTTTGATAAAAGAAATAAGGTGTCATTTTAAAACTTTATAGTAATGTATAGTCATGGTCATGGGATTGAATTCAATAAAGCCAGAAGGCCCTGCAATATTTAATGTTATGAAAAGAATCCCCCATATTTTTGAGATGGGAGAAAGAAGCTCGAAGAACAATACAATAATCAAAAAATAAAAAAAATCATAATATATAATAATTGATAATCAAATTATACTACAGTGTCACCATTTTAACATATGGATGGTGCAACCACTTTTGATTTTTCAAAATACACGATCTTGAAGTAAATTGAGTTATCGATCTTGTGGTTAAAGGAGATGGTGCTTTGTACATGTACAGGGTGTCCGCGAAGAAAGGTGACGCTTTCAAACTAGATGTAAATGCTTCAGTTTAAAAGGTTGACGAATTTTCATGTATATATAAAAATATGTCATATTTTTAAAAAAAAATAATAAAATGTAAGTTCGTTGAGGTAGCATTATTTAGTTAATGTGTCAAATAATGTTATTTTATAAGCATTTTAAGTACAGGATACCTCCATATGATGTGACTGTCTTCCATCATCATTATGAGCTCTCTTTCACTAACTCGCACTTTGAAATCGTTATTAATATTTTGACGCATTTCTTAACTTCCCGACAAATTCAAAACAAGCGAGTTTATAAAATTGGTTTGAAGAGACGACTATATTTATAAAGGGTTCGGTTGGTTAAAAATGTGTCTAGAGTTAGGAAATGAAAGGTGTTCATTGACCAACGCTGGGAAATGGAGAAATTCTCCACTACAGGGCACAGAACTACATTACAACTTTGCGTCATGGTCACATACTAAAACATAAAACCATATTAAAAGCTAGTTCTGCAGCTATAATCTTATTTTGATTTAATTTCACTTGTATAATTTTCGCCTTGTGTTATTTTCGCCTTATCAGTCATGTAAAGGCATTTCTATCAAGCTTTTCGTTATAATTTGTTTCAATGCAAACAAGAATAAAATTATTAGCAAGTGATAACAGATTGATAATTTTAAACCAGTGTCAAAACTTTGAATTTCTCTTTTCCTGCAACACTTTTCATTAAGGGTGGATGTGCAGGGGAGGGGGTAGAATTTTTTTCTTCTATTATTTATTAAAATCAGTCTTTAAACTTTAACATAATCAAATTTTTAAAAAATATGAATATGCATCTGTTTGGAAATGAATCAGTAATTCGCATGTTAAACATATGTAAAATTTAACGCGTAATTTAAGAGAATTTATTCTACCTGTAAAGGAGATTTTTTTTAAATATTTTCTTCTGTTATTTACCTTGTTACTTATTTTTGTGTTTTGAAGGTGCTCAGTTTCCATTGGAGGACGACAACAAACGCACGCGCACAGCGTACACTAGAGGCCAGCTACTGGAATTGGAAAAAGAATTCCATTTTAACAAATACATTTCCCGACCGAGAAGAATAGAGTTGGCTGCAATGTTGAACCTTACTGAACGCCATATAAAAATTTGGTTTCAGAATAGACGGATGAAATGGAAAAAGGACGAGGCCAAACGAAGGCCGCGTCCTCTGAATTCTTCGAACATTAAAAATGCCGTTTCACCACCGGAATCTCCTGTCATGACAGATTTATCTCCCGTGTCGAACGGAAGTGACGTTTCATCCCCTAAAGAGAACGAGACTGGCGATATTTCCTCAGTGAACAAAAATTTATTGAACAAAAACACCCTCTCGCCAAAGGAAGAATCCGCCACGTGATAATTACGTCATGGGGTACATGTATCAAATACAGTCCCTAAATATACTGATGGAAACTGATTACATGTGTTCTAATGTTATGTTATATGTATCTGACCTTCACATGAATGCCCTTTATAGAGAAGCCGTCGATACAAGCACAGAAGGCACATCGACGACGTTTCTACCAGAGAGTGTTTTATTGACTGTTGTTTATTGTGTTACTAAACACTGGTTTTTTTTTTTTCCTTGCAAACGTTGCTCGATAGAAATATAAGTAAAGTTTAAACTGAAGAGCTCCTTTACCGGTGTGACACAACTATAAATGTCCCTTATTTTTACAAACTATCAGACTTGAACAAAGAAAGGATACGTGTTATACAGTGTGAGTGCTTTTCAGGTCATGTTACTTAAAATAGAAATTGTTGTGAACATTCAATATACATCGATATTCGTGAATAAAATTTTTGTAGTCATGTATCATTTCAACGGTGAATTATTACACTCAAATATCATCAATAATAACAGATGTCCATGAAAATAAATAAATTTATTATCTACATTTGCTTAGTAATAAATATCGGCTTTTTAGCACACCTGAGCCGAAGGTTCAAGTGAGCTTTGCTGATCACATTTTGTCCGTCATCCGTCCGTCTGTAAACTTTTCACATTTTCGACCTCTTCTCAAGAACCACTGAGCCAATTTTAACCAAACTTGGTACAAAGCATTCTTTGGTTAAGGGGGGTTAAAATGAAGGGTCAAGTCTCTCACAAGGGGAGATAATCAAGAAAAGACAAAAAAAGGATGGGGTCATCAATAAATTTTTTTCTCAGGAACCACTGGGTCAGGAAAGCTGAAACTTATGTGGAAATATCCTGGGGTAGTGTAGATTCTAAATTGTTCAAATTCTGACCCCCAGGGTAGGGCGGGCCACAACTTGGAATCCAAGTTTTTACATTGAAATATAAAAGATAAACTTTAAAATCTTCTCAAGAACCACTGGGCTAAAAAAACTGAAACTTATTTGAAAGCATTGCGGGGTAGTGTAGATTTTCAATTGTCAAAATTATGACCCGTGGGGTAGGTCGGGGTCACAATAGGTATTAGGATGATTTTACCCCTACTTTGGACTTTCAGTAGGGCGTGACTTTCTCGGCGCTACGTAATGGCGAATACTAGTAGATTCTCATTGGTTACGAAATTAATAACATCAGGAAATTAAAATTGTTGTTGATAACGATGAGACGACTTATGTCCCACCTCTGTGGCGTGAGAAAACTTTGGCTATTCACTACTCCAGTTGATATTCGGCCGCATTTCTATCATATGTATATTTCAACAGTGAAGGAAAGCTGTGTAAATTTCAGAAGCTAATTAGGCAACGTCGAGAATGCCACGCCTTACTGAAAGTCCAAACTAAGCGTGTAATTCTTCTACAAGGGGAATTCTGGTAAAGAACAGCATAGTCAAAGCTACTCAGGTGAGCAATGTGGCCCATGCACCTCTTGTTCCATTAGCGATATGCCTGACGTCACAATAGCCATCAGCTTCCAGTGCTGACACTGATCCTATAAGGTCGATATGGATGATATATGTGCCAGTAGTCACTGCACGAATATTTATTTAAATTTTCTCAAGTCAATATGTGAACTGTATTTTATTAGCTTTGTAATAAACATAATAAAACAAACCCTTTTCCACATCACATCCTATATATGTAAGTCCTCAACCATTATCAGCCCTCGGACTTAGCCCTCTGGCTGATTTAAGTGTCTCGAGCTGATACAGGATGTGATATGGAAAAGGGTCCGAGTTATTCTTTATATAATGCACTGAAAAAAGAATCAAATAGCAATGTGCCTGAGTGATGACTAATTGACTATGCATGTTTGTACTAAGTACTATTCTTGAGTCAATGGTCAAAACATGACCATGCACGATGTATCATTTTGTTGATAACATCCCATTACAAAAAAAAGCTATGATATTCCTTTTGAATAAACCCTCATACATGTAGGACATAAAAAATGTAAATGAATTTTAATCCCACTTCACCCAGATCTCTGATGGACTTTGTCCTTCAACTACATGACTTTCTGCTATATTTCTGTAATAATTATAACTTTTCAAAATCAGATAGTAAGCATCCCATTTTAATTTACACTAGCACCTATAGGTTTACTGTTCAAGTAGTGGTCTTGGGCTCATTGTGGTAATGTCAAGGAATGAAATTTTACATGAAAATTCAAAGGAAAAATTCGAGAGTTCTCAAAATGAAAAGGACAATTAGTATTCACCACGTTATATGCAGAATATATATTTGGGTCGGTATCCTTTTATATGAAAATTGCATACTTAAAGATCACTACTAAATTTAAAAAAAAAAAGCTGAAGCATGGATATTTCAAATGAGAAGCATCAACATAAGACAGATAGCACTGGGATTAAGAGGGGAGCCCAGGACCCCCTTTTGTGTCCAAAATATACCCAAGATTTTAAAAAATCTTTTTTTTTTTTTGGTGTGGCTTTGGGTCCTTGCCCGGACCCCAAAGTGCCCTCCTTTAAGATTTTTTTTATCCGCCACTGGATAGGAATTAATTGTACGTTGTCAGGAACTATACATGTGCTCGTGTTGGTCACATATTGTGCAATACAAGGAAATATATATATGGAATCCTTTTTGTAAAGGGAAACAATCTGTTGTTGTGCTGCAGGATGCTTATCACCAGATTCCCCGCACGACAGGTATTTTATCACTGTTAATGTTTGACCCTTTTTCTGTTTGACTCTGACAACAATTTGTGACATTTTCTGCTGGTATTAGTGTCTCAGTATCTGACAAATGGTTAAATTTACGAATTCGAAGTATGAAGTAAATATATTCCAAATTTTTCCAGCAATTTGAAAATAAAAATTGCTTCTTCGACGTCATTTGACTTGGTGTTGTTTCACTCCAATGGCCGACACGAGTCACATTTTATTATCAATTTTTGGAATAATCGCAAAGATTTGGAATATTCCTTAAATATCAATTAAATATAGCACTTTTTAAATATGCTTCTGATATTTATTGCATAGCGAATTTTCTTGTAAAAATCTACTTTCGCATTCTCTATCCAGAGTTGTCCTTCTGGCTACACCCACACACCTTTGTCAACCCGTAGTATCCAAGATTCTTTAATGAAACATTATAATTAATAATAGCTATAATTCATATCCTTTATCAGCGAAAAAAAAGACTGTTTCATAGTCCTCTTGAAGGATTTTTTTTTTCATTTAAAAAATATATTTTTTATGTACTCCCTAGAATATAGTTCCTTAATTTGAAACCAAGAAAAGAAATTGTTTTAATGATTTTTGAAATAAATGATAAATATATTTAACTATACATACATACATGTACATTTATTTAAGATAGTTGCCATTCTAAATTTGTACATGTACAATGAGAATTGGAAGGGTGTTGAGAGCGTAGCGGAAGACAACTCTGGGTAGAGAGTGAGACTTTGCATCTCAACAGTTTTCGGATATTAAAGTATGCATCTCAGCAGATTGGTATTTAAGACAGAATACCTTAATTCAGAAGTTTCTCTTTCCAGATGTCCTTTAAGGATATCCGATATTCAGCCAGGAAGGATAACTCCAAAAATTAATATTTAATTTGAAATGCATCAAAATGAAGCTTGAAAATGAAATTTTTTCATGCAACAATTTTCATTTTATTCATCTTTATTAGATTAAAGGTTTTTTAAAGTCTTAGAAAAGGTTTTATAAAAGTTGACATTTCCACCCTATAAAAGGGAAAAAAATATAGTTTTAGGGAAATAAGAGTTCCTTGAATCCAGCCTCAGATACCAATGCTTATTAGCATGATATGAAATAAGAAATGATTTCTGGTGTCTTGCAATGATAGCAAAAGCCTTTTACACTATGTATTATAGAACACATGACGGAAATAGAAGACAAAAAATACCAATTGAAATAAGTATAAAAATCATGACAATATCTCTGAATGCCTGGATGCCAATCTTTTTTTTAACCCAAAATATATTTGTTGATCAATTTGCAATTAGAAAATGCATTGCTGATATTCCAATTCAAAATACGCTTTTTCTGCGTAAATATTGGAGATTTGAGAAATTTCCCTATATTATATGATTAACTTTAATCTTTAACTTTAAAGAAATACTGTGGATAAATTTACATAACTTTGTGGATTCAGAGATACTTTTATGAGTATTGTAAGCTACCCCAGGGGTGGCTAGTATTTCTGAATCCTCAGCATCTATATAGGCCATAGTTTATCATCTAAATAATTCATCTTTTGTCAGGATGTACCAGTAATTAAATTTGTTCCTATGTAAATTAAACAACCAGGCACCACTCTGTGTAGATTCTTTGTTTTGTATGATACTCAAGATGATTGATCAGTCATACTCAGCATTTATTGTATGTGCAGCATCTCATAATCATAACAATACAATATGTAAACATCAATATAAAACAGCTGATTCTTCAGAAACACAAGTTTAGGTCGTCCAGTGTGGTAGGAGATTTCTAACTAGGCTAAATATACGTAAATAACATTATAAGTATCTCACCGTTTTGGTTTTCTTTCTTTTAACTTTCAAATATAGCCGCCATACAACTAGCTGAAATCTGTCGTAACGTAGTACGCGCTCTCTTATATAACCTCCCATTCCCTGTCACATGACTCGAATTATCCAATAAAATTATGCCGTACGAACTATTAACCAATCAAAAGCTTGTACGGGAGGCTGAGTTCCCACACAAGTTCCCACACAGAACTACTTCTGCCACACAAGCTTCCGTACAACATCGTAACTAGAAAAACTATGTAAAATTGACAAGTGGAAATATAACACATAATATAAGCTTGACTAGACGAATTAATAAATTCCTTCAATGTTTATAAAACATCCCTAGACTGTACAATATATGCAGAACAATGTAGCGTAGGAATATCGTAACTACCGACACTAGCGTACACAAATGTAGTCCCGATAAAGCTGACTGATTATAAAGTGAATGCTAACAATAAATAACAACTTGTAGCTTCAAATCACAAAACAACTCAAACTAAAAAGTAGAATACGATCCCATATTCATAACTTCAATAGAACAATGCATTACTAGTAAATACATATAGGTCACCAAACCGGAAATGACGATCCGAGTAAAGTATGATGGCTTCCAAAACATGAAAAGTAAAATCCACCCTCTATTCCCCGATATTATAACTCCTACGATATTACATGAAGCGACAACAGGTAAATTATGATGATAATAGCTATTACTAAAATCGTATCTAGATAAGCTGACATATTATTTCCAATAAAATCATAAACGAACAACTTTCCTGGCAGGCACATGTTGAACATAGATTTAACAAGAATGAGAACTGGACGACCGCATAATATTACGTTTACAAATCAAGTGATATATTACACTCCCCACAACT